CTTCTTTATATAAAAGGGGAATAATTTGTGACCTCTAAGAGTCTCCACGTACGCAAAAAAAATCAGAAATATAATCCACCAATAGAAATACAGAATTCAGCCATGTCATCCTATATTTCTCCATTTCATTAAAAATTTAACCGCACAATTGTTGAATATAATGAAGTCCATAAAAGAAGCCCAATTAGAAACCATAAATTTATCCAAACCAAAGGCCCATAACCACATACATCGTATCATATTCTCCACTTTGTGACCTAAATGCCAAGTAACATAACGTCTACAATTCATCGTTCTCGCTTATGACAGCCTAACCTTTATTCCCTGAAATCATAGACGAACTGGCTCCACAAATGCCCCGACCATTCTATATACTCTATATAAAGAATATGATTACAACTTTTACTACCAAATCCTTCAAAGATTCTTTGTGCTGGAGAAACTTGGCCGACGATATTTAGGTAAGATTTCCTTTTCTCTTTTTGTTTCTCTGTAATTGTGGGGGTTGACACATATTGTATTGAGTTCATGTTGTTTTGGTCATTTTGGCATCACTCTAATTTATTTGTTTTGTGTGGTTATGGAAAACATCGAGTAAAGATGAGAAGAATGAGGTATGTTTGGAAACGGGTGTTTGTTTGCGTATGTTTGGAAGAACACTCCTCATTGTTTAGAGAAAAGTGATTCAAAGAGTATGTATGTTTTGATTTCACAATAAATTTCTTAAGTACTATCGGTGATTCACAATTTCATTTATACATGTCGTTAGTCACAATCATCGGAAATAAACGTATCGCTCAAACGCCAAGGCAAGAACTTCGATGGGAATCTCACAACGTTTCTTCTATTCTCATGTACGCAGTCATTGGAGATGGTGGAGAACCCAACGTAGAAGCATGCCCATAAAAAAGGAAGGAGCAGTGACTGGAGATGGTGGAGAACCCGATGTAGAAGCATGCACATAAACAAAGGAAGGAGCCGACGATTGAAGACGCTATCGCTCGCCGTTTCTTAAAGGTCCCATCCATCATTTCCCCTTGATTTTCATTTCAAATTTTCATAAAGCGTAGTAAGTGAAAAGTCCCACTCTATTCACCAATATTGGTTCATCGATCTATTAATTGTGCATTAGTTCATTGATTAAATAAAACTTAAAATATTTTTGTGGTTACTACATTTTTTCTTTAATTTGAGGCACTTGAACGTGCAATCTATATAATAGGATTTGAAAAATGTAATCACTTAATGTAAATCATAAAGTGGTGGTCAAAGTAAAGGAATACGCTTCTCTTCAGTTTTCCTGATTACGGATTCCAAACCAAATTTCAAAATGAATTGAAAAGATAAGCGGCCAAGATGAAGAAACCTAAACTTCAAGAGAAGAGAAGATTAACGAAGCATATTGTACTTATGAGCTTTGACTTAAAAATTAAATATTAGGCTTGGTGGGTTTTTGGACTTGGAAGACATTGTCACTCCAATACGTTTAATTACAATTCAGGTTTGGAATATTTCTGCCACAAATTGATACCTATGCTTTTTTAACAATATTTTACATTTTTTTTCTTTTGAAGATTTGGAACCCTTTCTTTTAAAATATTTTATATGCTTTTGTAACTTTATTAAAATACAAACACAACAATTGATTTTCTAATGGTTTGATGGAGTCCACACCTTCCGAAAAATAAAAGACTATTTTACCACTTATAAATGCATGTTGTTGTCTCCATAGAGATGTTTGGTCATGTTTATTTTTGAGTTTTCTAATTAGCGAGAGGAAAAATGCTAAACTTTTTATTTTATCATGCAAATAAGAGTTGACCTCGGCGCTGGCGGTGGTGAATTCGGGGTATGAAATCATACGGAGATAGAACACATGATACCTTTGTGGTGCATGTTGATGGGAGAATGTGAAGACTTATACAGTGGATAGTCATGATTCAGGGATTAGTTTCTATCTTATATATTTGTTCTCCAAATACAGAAAAAATAATAACTCTTTGAGATGAAAGAATAAAGATCGCCAGTATGTAATTGGTGGTCATTTTGACTACATTTCGATTATTATCAATTTTTTATGTTCTCTCCTCTTCTTTTATGTTGGGATGAAAATCATTCGATACAAATAAATGAATTTTTACATGTTATTGATATAAATCATAATATCACAGTGTCTATGTTAATGGGTAGATGATGTTCATAATATTTTGTGTTTATGTTGGTGTACATCTTATTGATATCTCATTCTACTGAACCAACAAAATAAACAGAAGGAAGTTCGAGAAAAATAATCTAATTTCAAATCAACCAAACAATTTAGACAAATGCTAAGAATAATCTATATATCTCAAGTATTTTATCCCTACTACATTTTAAAAAAGGAACATTATGAAATGCTAAGATTATGTTATGTCAGTTAAATTATCAACAATAATTTTAACAACATAATCCGCGCGTAGCGCGGGACAAACCCTAGTAACAATCAATAAAAAA